GAGTCTATAATACTGAGTGACCTCTCACAGAAATAAAGATCTGAGTATCACATGTTCTCACTCATATAGTGGACCTTGATCATCCAACGTATTACCATAAGAAAATGACAGACAGTGGTGGGAAACTATGGGGAGGAGGGGAAGGGAGATGGGATTAATAGTAGTAAACATCTGTCTGGGGATGGAGAGACACTTCTTATCAACAAGGGTGACTGAATGAAGCATATTTGTATACCTAACCCTTAGCTGTACCCCACAATATCATAATAAAAAATATTGTTTATAAAACAAAAAGAAAAGCCTATCCTTTCTCCACTGGATTACCTTTGTGCCTTTCTCAAAAATTAGCTGATCATGTTGTGTGAGTCTATTTCTGCACTCTTTATTCCATTCCGAGATTGTATGTATTTATCTTTTCACCAGCACTACACTCTCTAGATTATTAAACCTTTATAATAAATCTTGCAATTACATAGTGTGAGTCTTCTAGCTTTGTTTTTCTTTTTCAAAATTATTTCAGGTATTCAAATGTTTTTGCCTTTCTATATAAACTTTTGGATCAGCTTGTGAATATCTCTAAAAAAATTCAACTAGTCTTTTGCTTGCACTCTGTTTATAGATTAATTTGTGAATAACTGTTATCTTGCAATCTTGAGTCTTTAAGGATAGTATATCTTTTCATTCAGTTAGGTCATCTTTGAATTTTTCACCAATGTTTTATAGTTTTCAGTGAGCAGATCTTGCGTGTATTTTAGATTTGTAAATGGTGCTATTCTTAAAATTTTGATTCCCGATTATTCATTGTTGGTTTGTAGAAATGTAATTGATTTTATATATTGGCTTTATATTTTATGCCATTGCTAAAATCGATTTTTAAATGTTGAATTAGCCTTACAATAACAGAATTAATCCCATTGATCATGATATACTATTTACTTACATATTGTTGGATAATTTGCTATTATTATTATTATTATTATTATTAATTTATTTTTCAAGACAGGGTCTCACTCTGTTGCCCGGGTTGGAGTGAAATGATGTGATCCTGGCTCACTACAGCCTTCTGGGCTCAAGACATCCTTTCATTTCAGCCTCCTAAATAGCTGGGACTTCAGGCATGTACCACCGTGTCTGGCTAATTTTTATGTTTTTTGTAGAGACAAGACCTCACTATGTTGCCCAGGCTGGTCTTCAACTTTGGGGCTCAAGTGATTCTCCCACCTTGGCCTCTCAAAGTGCTGGGACTACATGCACGAGACATCACTCCCAGCCCCATTTTGTAATCTTTTGTTGAGGATTTTATGAGAGATGTTATTCTTTAGTTTTCTTGCAATTTAAAAAATCTAGCTTGTTATTATGGTAATGTTAGTCTCATGATTCATTAGGAAAGTTTCTTTCCTTTTATGTTTTTTGGAAGAGACTGTGCTGAATTGATTACTTCTTCCTTGATATTTTGCTAGAATTTACCATTGAAGCCATCTGGACTTACAGCTTTTTGGTTTTATTTCTTCAAAGATATTTTTGACTAAAAATTCCATTTGTGTATACAAAGGGTCCCAACCCCTAGGCCACAGACCAGTACCAGTCCACAGCCTGTCAAGAACTGGGCGGCACAGCAGGGGTGAGTGGTGGGAGAGTGAGCGAAGCTTCATTTGTATTTACAGCCACTTCCCATCGCTCCCATTACTGCCTGACCTCTGTCTTCTGTCAGATCAGTGGTGGCATTAGATTCACATAGGAGTGTGAACTCTATTGTGAACTGCACATGCGGGGGATCTGGATTGCATGCTCCTTATGAGTGTCTAATGCCTGAAGATCTGAGGTGGAGCTGAGGTGGTGATGCTAGCACTGAGGAGTGGCTGCAAATACAGATTAACATGAGCAGTGAAGTTTGACTGCACATCCTCTCCCTCCAGTCCATGGAAATGTTGTCTTCCACAAAATCGGTCCCTGATGCCAAAAAGGTTGGGGACGACTGACTTAATAGAATTCAGGTTGTCTATTTTTTTCTTGAGAACATTTTGATAGTTTTGTTTTTTTCTCAAGCAAGTGATCCATTTCATTTATGTTGTCAAATTCATTGGCATAAACTTGGTCATACTATTTCTTTTATTATTACTTTAATAGTAAAAAATAGCCAGGCTCGGTGGCTCAGCCTGTAATCCTGTGCTTTGGGAGGCTGAGGTGAGTGGATTGCCTGAGCCCACGGGTTCAAGACCCACCTGGACAACTTGGTGAGACCTCATCTCTACAATAAATCAAAAAATCAGCCGGGCGTGGTAGCGCATGCCTGTAGTTCCAGCTACTCGGAAGGCTGAGGCAGAAGGATCACTGGAGCCCAGCAGGTCGAGGCTTCGGTGGCCAGGAGCGGCCACTGTGCTCCAGTCTGGGTGACAGAGTGAGACTCCGACTCAAAAAAAAAAAACTAATAATAATAATAATAAATAATAAAATAATAATCCCTACTTTCATTCCTGTTATAGATAATCTCCTCCTGGCCCCTCACTCTTTTCCCTCACAGTCTCTCTAGAGGTTTATCCATTTTATTGATTACGTCGAAGAACCAGCTTTTGGTTGCATGACTTTCTCTATTTTTTTGCTATTTGTCATTTCATTGGCATATGCTCTTATCATTATTAATTCCTTCTTTCCATTTGCTTGGGCCCAATATAGTCTCTTTTAAGAACATTTCTTAAGATAGAACCTTAAGTGACTGATTTGAGACCTTTTGAAAGGAAAGACTTTGCACATGCATATTTGAGAATGATCAACATTTCTTATCCAAGTACAGCATGACCATTTAAGAACCTAGCATGTGTAGATAGTTGTGCTAGTTACTACAAATGTTCACTTTCCCCAGACCTTTAGGATTTACATCTACAATCTTTCAACAATGGTCACTAGTGTATTTATTTCTCAGGACACCACTTAGAGGTTGTAGAGCTGAGGCTCATAGCAGTTTGCCTGTGTTTACCCAGGTGGAGAAACTGAGATTTGAACCTAATCATAACCTGTAATTCTTTTGTCTAGTGCATTGGTTTGTTCTACACATGCCAGCACTTGCTCAGTCTCTAGGGTTACTCAGTGAATTAAAGCAATCTGATTCCTGCCCTTTGATCCTTCAGTCTAACAGAGGAGACAGATGCAAAACACAATTCATGCCATTACGTAAACGGTTCTGCAATGTTTATACAGTTCTCTGCTTCCTAGGTTTATGTTGATGCTGTGGATCGCTTGACAGGGAAAATTGTGGATAAATCCTTGATTTTCAACATTCGGATCAGTGATGTGAATGACCATGCACCCCAGTTTCCTGAGAAGGAATTTAACATCAGCGTGAAAGAGAACCATGCAGCGGGTGTGTATGGCAGGGGCTGCAGGGCACCCTTCTGTCTCTGCCTGCTCTCCTGCTTTGATATTGATGAGGAGCTTGATCCTAGTTGTCTTCAGGGAGGGTTTTTACTGTTCACATCTCTAAGGTTGCAGGCCTGGATCAGAGTGAAATGCTTTGAGATCTGTAAGCCTCAGTGTGTATTGGCCATAAAATGATGTGGGAATTGCATCTGTTGGAAGAGCTGATAAGTACATGTCAATCTAAAAATAAAGCCACATGCAGTGAGGGGACAAAGAGCTGGGTGGCCAGTTTGAGAGCACCTCTGCAAATTTATCAGCTGTAAAATGGCAACAAGAGGGTACCTCAAGTCTCTGAGTTACAGATAATGTGCGTCAAGTCCAAACTACTCTTACTAGAATTTGAATCCATTTCAGTAACAAAACACATTAGTTTATGAAACAGTCTTTACAAAATTTGGAAAATTCCAAGAAATGAAAAGACCGAAAAAGAAGGCATCTTTAATACTGCCCATGAAAAATTAGTATCATTAGTGCTTTAGTTTGCATTCTTTCAGTATTTTTCTTTGCATGCATATAGACACTGTATGTTATATATATGTATGTATTCACAGATTTTTATATATAATTACAAATGCATATTTATGTATATTTTATCTTTATTATAGTACAAAACGTATGTGTATATATTAAATATTTACATATACTGGGTGTGCTTTTTTATATGTACATATTTATGAATTTCCTTTTATGAAGATGCAGTTTTTACTGTTTGTAACCTAATATTTTCCTAAGGCATCTGTTGTATAATATCATATTTTATGGATGTACTTTAAAGTATTTAACCAGTGTCTTATTGTTGAACATTTATGTTTTGTGGTCACTTTCTGTTGTTTTTATAAAATATGTTTCAATTAACAAATGGGAGCTAAAACTGTGTTCCTATCGAGACTGACCTACCTGGCATAAAATCAGAGACACAGATTTCCTGGTTTGTTTTTTTGTTTTTTGTTTTAGAAAGTGATTGTCATCTTTATTGAAATGATAGTTAACATGTCAGTGAGAAATAATTTAGCCGTTTTATAACTAATGCCACTGCAATGGGCAATCGATATTTAATAAAATGAAATTACTTTCCCATCTCTCATGCTTCATTGTCATAAATTCCAAGTGGATTCAAATTCTATGGTCTCAAATATATCTACAGGCTTGCTGGTTTAAACCGTACACACAACTTAAGTTCTCTCATTTATTCATCCACAAGCAATACAGGTTGCCCAGTGCATTGTTTGTCTTAAACATTTTTATATGTTTCTTGGCCATTTCCATTTTCTTCTTGGTGACTTTTTCCTTTCTTTCATCCTTTTTTCTGTTAGTGTGTTTGTCATCTTTCTTTTTTTTAATTTTTATTTTAAAGATGTGGGGTACAATTCAGGGTTAGGTATACAAATGGTTATTGTACAGGTAAAGTTTGGGACTCACTTTGGTCCCCATATCACCTGGTTTGAGATCAGGTACCCTTATTGATGAAATGTGCCCCCCAGCCCCCACTCCTTCCTCTGGCAGTTTCCCACTACTGCCAATCCCTTTTTTATAGTATCATGATAATCGTTCAGGTTCCACTTGAGTTAGAACATGTGGTACTCAGTTCTTTGTTTCTGTGATAGATCACTGAGTATTACAGACTTTCTTAATTTTAACCTCTGCACTCTCTATTAAGAATATTTGTCTGCCATATAGATTTCATATGCTTTCCTGGTTTATCATTTCCTTTCTAATTTTGTCTATAGTTTTCTTCCACATATTTTGAAATGTAATCTGATGTATTGGTTTTGTTCTTTAAGTTCTCTGTATTTGCAATTATGATTAAAAAGTTTTTCTTGACATCATAACTGTGTAAATATTCATCTTTTCCTTGTCTAGTTTGTCTAGAGTTTGATTTTATATTTAAATATTTTGTTCATTTTAGTAGATGCTCCAATGCCATCTAGCAAATAATCCATCCTCTTACTGGTTTCATAAGGTGCCTTTATCCAATAGTAACAATTAAAAAAAATTCTTTCTAGGTCAGCCTGTTTTTTGGATGTTAGCAGTTGATTTGGATCAAGAAGACACTCCAAATTCTCAAGTCCTTTATTTCCTTGTTTCTCAAACACCATTACTGAAAGAGAGTGGTTTCTGGATTGATCGTACTAGTGGAGAAATACGGCTCTCAGGATGCTTGGATTATGAGGTTATGTGGATTTCATTATTTATTTTATTTTATTTTATTTTATTTCATTTTATTTTATTTTGAGTTGGAGTCTCACTCTGTCACCCAGACTGAAGTGCAGTGGCCTCTCCTAGCCACTGTAGCCTCGACCTGCTGGGCTCCTGCAATCCTTCCACCTCAGTCTTCCAAGTAGCTGGAACTACAGGCACGTGCTACCACACCCGGCTGATTTTTTGATTTATTGTAGAGATGAGGTCTCACCAAGTTGCCCAGGCGGGTCTCAAACCCGCGGGCTCAGGTAATCTACTCACCTCAGCCTCCCAAAGCGTGGGATTACAGGCTGAGCTACCGAGCCCGGCTGGAGTTCATTATTTTAAAAAAATGAAATGTGTTGCTCATCTTGGGGCCCCAGCCTTGAATTCTGCATTTGCAGTGGGGAATGCTCTGTGGCTAGACCTTCTACTGAAATCACTCAAATGGTATATTTCTTTATTAACAGTTTCCTTCCCTTTCCTGTACTTGAGGGGTTTAACTTTCCTTGTCATCCCCATGTAGACTGCCTCTCAGTTTACACTCCTGATTGGAGCTAACGATTGTGGAGAACCGTCACTGTCATCCACAGTCACTGTTCATGTGAATGTTCAAGAAGGCAACAACCACATGCCCACATTTACCCAGCAGAAGGTAAGCCATGGCTGCCTTAGAGTCTAAGTCCCAAAACAAATGGACTTGGGGTCCTAGGCTCAGTTTTACTAGGGCTGTCACCCGAGAAACATGCAGTTCTCTAAAGTGATTTATGCTAGAATCAAACTATATTGATACAGAAGCACTTCATAATAGACACATGAGCTTACATTTTTAAAAATTGTTTTATGCCAGAAACTCTGCTAAGGACTTCTGCATGCATTATTTCATATTTACATTGAAGCTGTTCTGTGTGTCGTAGAATGTTAAGCAGCATTCCTGGCTTCTATCCAATACATGCCAGGAGCTCTCCCTTAGCTGTGACAACCAAAAATGTCTTTAGACTTTGCCAAGTGTCACCTTGGTAGAATTACCCTTGGTTGAGAAGTTTAGACCTGAGGTTTCCACAATGTGGTCAGGATTCTACAGGGGGACATGAGCAGGTGGGCTTTAGCCTTGACTTTCTCACCTTGCCTGATGTATGTATGCGGTTTCACAAAGACTTTCTGATGCTACAAGATTCCCAGGTTTTAAGAAAGCAATGAAAACTACTGTGCAAAACTAGCCTGGAAATACTGCATTGCTTTTGATTGCTAAAATAGAAAAGAATCACTTCGATTGTTTCCATTTTTTTTGTTTTACTATTCCATGTATATTTTTTAAAAGTAAATATCCATTATATTTCCCTTTCTCCTGACTCTCTCAGTGATGCCTTTCTTGACTACCTAATTAAAGCTGTCCCACTGCCTTCCTGGGGCACATCTAGCCCCTTCATGCTGCTTCTTCATAGTGTTCTATTTAACGGATGCATTTGTATCATTTATTGTATAAATACCCCCATGCATGCAAGAGCGCGCGCACACACACACACACACACACACACACAGTCAACTGTTGGCTCCTGAGGATAGGATTTTTGCCTGTCTTGTTCATAGCATTTAAAAGAGAATCTGGCATATAGTAGTTGTTCTTGAATAAATGATGCAAACAATTATTTTTAAAAGGTGTCATTTAATTTTTTAAAATACTGAATAAACTATAAAGTGAAATGTTTTCAAACCAAAGCACAACAGCAAGCATATATAATAACTACAAAATAATGTTATGCTTGAACCCCGTTTCAAAATCCTTTGCTGGCTTGGTGAAATCCAGCCGTGCTCTCAAAAGTAAGACTGGAAAAAAATATGCCCTATTATTTTGATGTGTTTGTCTAGATTGATAGATTAGAACAAAATATATTGAACAACAAGCTAATTTGGAGATCTACATGTGTTATAAGAATGGTCGCCTTACTCCAAATAACCACAAGTGTCCTATTTTTGGAGAAGAGCTAGATTTTTAGAGAGCATAGACTAGGATATATAATTATTTTAAAAATTCTTAGAAAAATAGTGTGAGTTGGATTTAATGGCACTTTTAATATTATTCAGCTTTCAGCAGCAAGTCATGAGATGTTCCTGATTGATGCCCTTTCTGCTGTAACATGCAGTTTTAAATCCCTGAAGTACAAGTTCAACAGCATGAAAATATCCAGGGTGTTGTGCTAAGGACCTACATTTTCTCTCTCCCTTTCTCCCGCCCCTTCTTCCTTCCTGCTTTCTTTTCCAATTGTGTTTCTTTGTCTCCATGGCATGAAAGTGATGATTGCCTCTTCCAGTACAAGATTCAGATTCCTGAAGCCCGAATCAGACGGGACGTGTTGCGTCTCCCTGTTCAAGATCGTGATTTGCCATTTACGTCCTCTTGGAGAGTAAAATTCAACATATCACATGGCAATGAGGAGGGACATTTTGACATTTTGACTGACCCTGAGACCAATGAAGGGGTTTTAAATGTTCTCAAGGTAAATCCATACCGATGACACACCACCCAGGTGGCGGGAGGCGCTGGGGCCCTTCTGTGGGATCACTAATGCTACCCAGGAGTTAACACCTGGTGTGTCCTCTCTGCATGCTGGGCACACTAAATGTTTGTGTGTGACCTGATGCCACCTTAAGTAAGGCAAGGCCACACTGCTTCTCCTACCAAAATAATGTCAATATTAAAAATTATTTTTGATATGACTAAATATTTTACCATTTAATTTTTTTGGGGGAGGGGGCAAAATGTAATAGATTAACATAGGCCCTAATTTTTTATGTGTTTTTTTTAATGTGGCAGAAAATAGATAAAAAAAAGGAAAAACTTTAACCCTAAAAGTTTTTTTCTTCTTTTGAATTGTAAATGTTTAAAATTCTTAAAATTGAAAAGAAATGAGAACATCTGTGCAGCCCTAAGAGTATGGTGAGGCCCTGGCACTATGCCTTCCCATGCTTAATGGAGAAGTTGGCATTGGAGGAAAGTATGACTGGGTCTTTTAAGTGACAGCACGGTTTTAGAGTGGTGAAGTGGAGGTACACACTAGGCCATCTAACTCCAGTGCCTCTGGTCTTCGTTACTGTAAGCCGGACCTGAATGGCCAGGGCCTTAGTGTGGGGCTGGTGAGTCACCTGGGAACAAGGCAGGCCTGAGTCAGTAGATCTGGAGCAGGGCCAAGATTCTGCCTAGCAGTGTAATAAGCTCCTGGGTGACACCGATGACCCAAGACTCGCGCTGGGAATAGCAAGTCTCTCCCAACACTTTGACAGATGCCTGGGGTTGAATTTTCCAAACATTCCCAGCCTTTCAGTCCTTTTAAGTCCCTGGCTACTTTGTACCCTGAGTAACTGTGATCATTAATATCTATATTTCCCTAAGTTCCCCTGATTTCTTTGCCGCATGGTTGTCACATTAATGTTTCATTAACCTGTGGTTTTTGTTGCATTTTTCATTATTCTCTGATGGATGGTGCCTCTTCTCAACTGGGAGAGGAGGAGGAAAGAAAAAAAAAAAGAAAAGAACTCCATAAATGATTTGAAAATGAGTTGAAGACTGTCTTTTGATCATTATCAAAGACAACGTAAATAATGAATGAAGTGCAAAAGCCACAGTTCTCAGCTGGAGCTGGTGGCTTGGTGCTGGGCTTTCCCTGGCCGGAGGAGTGGCAGGTGCTAATGAAAGACTCTCTCTGGGGTTTCAGCCTCTGGATTATGAAACTCACCCAGCACAAAGTCTTGTCATCACCGTGGAAAACGAGGAGCGGCTCTTCTCCTGCGTGGGTGGCGAGCTTCAGCCTCCGAAGAGGGCAGCGGCAAGTGCCACCGTGAGTGTGCAGGTGACAGATGCCAATGACCCGCCCACCTTTCACCCCAGCAGCTTCATCGTCAGTGTGGAGGAGAGTGCCAGGCCTGGGGTCCAATTGGGAACGTTCAATGCTTCGGATCCAGATAGGATGGCGAGCCAGATCCGGTGAGAGGAAGGACGGTTGTTGAGGGGGAATTTGCCAGGTACCCAGATGCTTTCTGTTGAAACACTGGCTTCTTGGGTGTGTGTTCATCGGGTTGACACAGCCTCAGTTATAACAGGGTGAGAAACTATCTGCCCACCTGCCCAAGTTCAATGTCTTCTTGGCTCTGCGGCTCTCTCTGACCCTTCCAGGAGAAGCCACTCACTCACCTCCCTTTGCACTTATCATTTCTTTTACATTCTTTCCTTTGTATAACAATAATTTGTTATATATTTCTGTCTCCCTCTTTACCAGAGGTTATAAGCAGGCAGCCCTCTTGCTTCGGGGCAACAGAAGTGTTTTGCTTTTTTTCAATTGTGGTAGAAATGTACCATTTTAGCCATTTTTAAGTGTACAGGACAGTGACATTAAGTATATTCACAATGTTGTGCAAACATCATCACCATCATCTCCAGAAAGCTTGTCATCTTGCAAAATAGAAACTCTGTCCCCATTAAACACTAACTTCTCATTCCCCTTCCCTTAAGCCCTGAAACCCACCATTCTGCTTCCTGTCTATGAATTTGCCAGCACATATGAAGTGAGTATCTTATGTGAATGGAATCCCACAGCATTTGTCTTTCTGTGACTGGCTTGCCTCACTTAGCAGAATGTCCTCAAGCTTCCTCCATGATTAGAATGTGCCAGAACTTCCTTCCTTTTGGTGCTGAATTTGCAGACATTGTATGTATTTACTATGTTTTGGTTTATCCATGCCCCCACTGAGGGGCAGTGAGGTTGCTTACTGATTTGTTTTTAAGAATAAAGTTGCCAGCATTTAAAAATCAACAGATGATTCATACATCCTGGATTTTCTGGATGTTCTTGAAGATATGGGAAGATGTGGCCTATGTGGGCCTGTGTTCTATACAGCTGTGACCATGGAGCAGAGCGTGGGCCATGCATCCTGCCCCTTCTCTCTTGAGATCCAGTTCAGCGGTTGGCCTCAGTTCCTTTTCTGCCAGCTTCACTCATTCCTATCACTTTCTTGGTCCTGGTCCATGCTTGACTTTGAGATATCCCCTCAGAGCACTGTTCTCTACCTGTTGGGAAGGGCTAGATTTTTAAAGAATTTCCTATTCATTATGAAATGATAATAGTAATAATAACAATTTTTCAAAATATAATAAAAAACTACTAGAAAATTATCATGTGCTAGAAAATCTGCAATGCCAATGACTATAAAAATTTCTTGGCCAGGCACAGTGGCTCATACCCATAATCCCAGCACTTTGGAAGATTGAGGTGGGAGGATTGTTTGAGCCCAGGAGTTTGAGACCAGTCTGGGAAACATAGGGAGACCTTGTCTCTACAAAATAAAAAATAAAAAAATTAGCCAGGCATGATGACATGTGCCTGAAGTCCCAGCTCCTTGGGAGGCTGAAGTGCAAGAATTGCCTGAGCCCAGAAAGTTGAGGCTGTAGTGAGCCATAATTACACCACTGCACTCCAGTCTGAGTAACAGAGTGACACCCCAGCATACACAGACAAAATATTCTCAACATGTGCTCTTAATTTTTCCAGTTTTCTCTTTGGAAACATCTAGCCAATTCACACCCTTGTACCTGTGTATCCCTGGCACAGGTTGAGGGAACATAGCTCTTTTAAAATTTTTATTTTATTTGTACTTATTTTATTATTATTTTAAACTTTTTATTTTAAAGATGTGGGTTACAATTCAGGGTTAGGTATACAAATGTTCATTATACAGGTACCCTTGTTGATGAGGTGTGCCCCCCACCTCCAGCAGATTCCCACTACTGCCAATCCTTTTCTTATTGTACTACAATAATTGTTCAAGGTTCGCTTATGAGTGAGGACATGTGATACTCAGTTCTTTGTTTCTGTGATAGATCACTCAGTATTATAGATTCTAAGTCCATCCAAGCTGCTGTGAAGTTCATAATTTTTTCCTTCTTTATAGCTGTGTAATATTCCATCATGTATATGTACCACATTTGTTTTATCCAGTCCTTTTTGGAGGGGCAGCACAGTTGGTTCCATATTTTTGCTATTGTGAGCAAGGAGCTTGGCTCTGAAGCCGTGGTTGTCAAATCACAGTGTGAGCCCAGTGTGAGTGGCTCATGCCTGTAATCCCAGCACTTTGGGAGGCTGAGGTGGGAGAATTGCTTGAGTGCAGGAGTTTGAGGCCTCGTCTATACAAAAAAATTATATATATATATAAATAAAAGCTGGGTGTGGTGGTGTGTGCCTGTAGTTTCAGGTACTTGGGAGGCTGAGGCCGAAGGATTGCCTGAACCCAAGAGGCTGAAATCGTGTTGAGCCATGATCATGCCACTGCACCAACAGCCTGGGCAACAGAGTGAGACCCTGTCTCAAAAAACATTACAGTGTGAATCAGTTTCTGGAGGGCTTGTTAAAATCCAGATTGCTGGGTCCCACTTCTAGAATTTCTGATTCAGAGGTTTGGGGTGAGGACTGGGGCTTGCATTTCTAGTAAGCTCCCAGTGTTGCTCATGATGCTTATCCAGGGACCTACCTCTGAGAATCCCTCCCAGGGAATCCCTGTCTTATATGCTGTCTCTTGAGTATGGGTGGTTTATCAGTAGGTCTCAGTAAGTGTTTGAATTGTCCTTGAAGTCAGAAACGAACCAGTCCATTCACTTAGCCTCACATGTGGCTTTGTCCAGGGTGCAGGTCGAGCGTCTTTTCAACAAGGGAGAGACATGACTTGGTGAGCAGCTTTTGTTTTGTTTTGTTCTGTTCCACCTTATGTTAACTGGAGTTAATGTTTGTGTAGGAACCTGCTGAGAGAGTTGTCTTTTGGCCTAAGATAATCCACAGATGAACTCTGAGTTTCTTCCCCTGGTTTGTAAACATTGTAAAACCACAGTTCTTCTCAGAGACTTCTGGAACGTTCCCTAGGAGGTGAAGTCGTGCATGAAAAACTTCAATCCCTTTAAAAACTGTGACCCACCCACCATCAGGGAGGAATAGTGTTGACCCTTTTGGAAGCATTTCCCCAGATGCTGAAGAAAAAGCATAAAGAGAAGCTGCCTACCTCCACCCTTCCTGGGCCCTGTGCTTTTTCTGGTGTTTACCTGAGTTCAGGACATTCCTACTGTGGGCCCCTCAGCAGGCAGCTGCGGTTGGCACCCTGGCAAGGTTCCAACAGATGCCGTCTGATGCCTGCGGCTCTCGGGACTCCTGGAGGGCTTGGCATGCCCACCCCTTAAAATGGTGCCAGGTTCTCACAGGCCAGGGGGGATGTGGAAGATCACTTTGAGGGATTGTGTTACCCACCTGTGAACCCTTTGGGCTCTGTTGAAAAGCGAACACTCCAGGGATCACAAAGTTTTATGTTTCTGTTGCAAGGACAGGTTGGTTCTTAACATCAAGCTAGCAGCTGGGGATGAAATGTTGTCCCAAGACTGACAAAGGGGATGCTTAGTATTCCAGCGAATATCAACTTGATATATGAAGAGAATCTTTTGACTGTCATCCCTGTGCCTTCGTTAAATTCATGAACACTCTTGTAGTTTAATTACTCTTAGAATTTCCCTAATTACTTGTGATAGGAATAGTATTCTTATGACATATTTTGATTTGCCTTTTGATGTCACTTTTTAATTTCAAAGGTTGTGTGTGTTTTCTTTCTACAAGATATAAACTGGTCCATGACCCAGCCAATTGGGTCACCGTGGATGCAGAGTCTGGAGTGGTCATCACTGTGCAGCCGATCGACCGAGAATCCCCTCATGTCAATGACAGTTTTTACACAATCATTGCTCATGCTATTGACCATGGTGAGTGTTTACTCAAAACCAAGGGGAAAAAAGTGCCCATTCTTGTGTCCTGAGGGAAAATAATACCGGGGAGAGTCTTTCACAACAACTAAGAAAAATTAAAAAAGCAAATCTATCACCTTGCATCCATACTGGTGATTATTTTTGAAATAATTCTTGAAATGGTAAACCAGGGACCCATACCATCGAAAGAGGGCAGTATTCATTCAGAAGAGACAATTAAACTAGCAAAAAAGCTGCAATCAAACCCAATGCCTTTTTCCTCTTTTCATAAGATAGCTAGCTCTTTAGCTCTTTGTCAAAGTCAGTGATGTGTGATAAATATTTAGCACTGTTTCCCTGTGCTTGGGATGGCATAGAAGCACAGGTAAATGTGATGGCATGGGACGGATTTGTCATAAACCAGGATGGGTGGTTTTATGAGCATGTTACAGCACTCTTCTCTATAGTCTCCCAACGCTGAATTTTTAAATGCCCTGAAACATAGTTGAATGAATAAAAATGTGAAAATAACTTTAAAATTATATTGAAGAAAGTCTGTCAACTAAAACCCAGATTCCAAGTGACTTGGAACATGCTACTTGTATAACTGACCCATGGAATGTTGGCAATGAAGTTTTAAAATGTGTCCCTAACCAGTATTAAGGAAGGAAAAAGAAAGGGAGGCCTACGTTCTAGGGTTCCCCAATTTTGTAACAGATAACTTCATGGTTGGCATTTTTTTAAATTAGAAAAATTATTTTTAGGGAGTTGTGTATTCATATGCAGTTTAAAAAAAATAATAGAGAGGGTCCTGAGAACCCCTTGCCCAGTCTCCCCCAGAGGGAGCATCATAGTCAACATCACAAATGGGGTATTAACAAGTATGTGGTCAAGATCCAGAACACTCCATCCTCACAGGGACCCCTCATGCTGTCCTTGGATAGTCACACCCATTTCCCTCTCACACCACCCAGCCTTAACCACTGGCATGATTGTTCTTTTAATTTATTTAATGATTCCTCATTCTTCCTTGTTCTGCAGTGATTTGAGGTGGCAGGAGTCTAGTTAACTTACCCAGATATTCTGAATTTTCATAAAAGCAGGAAAACAGGTCAAGTACATGTCAGCAAAGTTCATGACTTTTAAAGGGAAAAGTCTCCAGTATTTCAGTGGAATGATTCTTCCATGAGAAATCAAGAGTGCTCATTCCCAAAGGGTCTATGTGCATGAGATGAACAATGTCCCCCTGAAATGTTCTCTCCTTGCAAGGCCTCCCGCCACAAACTGCTACAGGGACCCTAATGCTCTTCCTGTCTGACGTCAACGACAATGTCCCAGCTCTCCAACCCCAGTCACGTTACATGGAGGTCTGCAAGTCTGCAGAGAAGAAACCCCTCCTCATCGAGGCGGAGGATCCGGACCTGGAGCCCTACTCGGACCCATTTACATTTGAGTTGGACAGCACCTGGGGAGAGGCAGAGGATGCATGGACACTGGGGAAGAATTGGGGTGAGTGTTATGTTAGTCAGGGATAAAGAGTTGAAAACTACAGAACCCAAATTTGAACAGACTTAGGCGACAAAGGATTGTATTGGTTTACTTGTAATTGAAATAAAAGTCAGGCAGCTAGTGCTCTGGCAGAGCTGTACCTAAGTGCTCAAAGGACATCCCTGGATGCTGCCCTTCCACACTGGGACTCTTCCTTTCTCTGAGTTCCTTCATTTTCATGTACCTCTCCGTGTAGGGGCAGGTGGCTTCTGGGAGTCCCTGGGACACATCTTGGCACCTGGCTAGAAGGGAGTGTCCAGGGAAAGCTCCAGGGTTGATATCACTGCTTGGCTTGGGTCACCTGCCCTGACAATCATTGTGGGTGGGAATTGGGAGGGCAGATATGCGGACTGTCTGGCTCTGAGTCTACATCTCTTCCTTTTTGGGATCTGGGTTTATCCTCTCTGGTTCACATGGGCTGAAAGTTTGGGGGGTGTGGCCTCCCCCAAAGAAAAATTGGGATGCTGTTGCCAGAGGAGATATAGGTGGTGAGCAGGTTAAAAGCAACTGGCATGCACTGTCAACACTCTTCTTTGAGTGTCTACTGATGGAGTATGTTAGAATGTGGTGTGTTTATAGTTGAAGCCCTGCACTTATGTTGATAGTTCCAAGACTCAGAGTGTGTCGGAAAGCATTTCACCTTGCCCCCAAAGAATGTGGTCCTTGCCCTTGGTTTCTTGGGTGTGGGGGTCGTTAAGACCTTGGGACATCATGGCTGATCCAAATGTCTCTGTTTACCTTGGAGTTTTGGGTTGAGCCAGATAGGAACAATGGGATTTAAGGTGGGGGCTTTTGGTCATACAATATTAATCAACCACCAAGAGGCTGGAGACCGAGGTTAGTCACCTGGGAGACCCACCAGGGTCACTGACCAAGCTCTCAGGAGGACTCTTGACTCAAGACTTAGGTGAACATCCCCGTTTGGCATTATTCTGCGTGTGCCGTCACTCTTCCCTGCTGGTGAGGTAATACTGTCCTCACTTCATGGGAGAGGAGAGTGAGAAGCTTTGTGCTTGGCACTTTTCAGGACACTACCCTGTGTGCTTCCTCCCTTGCCTAATTTTAATCCTTATCTGGCCTCTGTAGGAAGCTGTAACCATCAGTGTAACAGCATTCACTGATTCTATGAGTCCTTCTAAAGAATGGCTGAGCCTCAGGACTTTCTTGTGAACCCCTGAACTTGCTCCATCCTCACAGGGACCCCTCATGTTGTCCTTGGATAGTCACCCCATTTCCCTCTCACACCACCCAACCTTAACCACTGGCATGATTGTCCTTTTAATTTATTTAATGATTAATTTATTTAATGATGTCAGAAGTGAGAACGGTCTTGGGAACTGTTCCCTTTAACTCAGCAGTTGGCTAACTTTATCCCAGAACCTTGATCTGTGGAGGGCATTTAATCAGTATGTTTTGAGTTCAGCAATGACTGAGTGAGTGAATGGATGCAAAGTCCTTTTCTCTTTGCAGGCCAGTCAGTTGAACTTCTAATGCTGAGGAGCCTCCCATGTGGAAATTACTCGGTGCCACTCATTGTTGGAGACAGACAGGGACTCTCCCAGAAGCAGACAGTCCATGTGAGGATCTGCTCCTGTTCCAGCGGGCTCACGTGTATGGAGTACTCAGATGCAGGAATGGGGCTTCTCACAGGGGTCCTATATCCAGTTTGTGCAGCCTTTTTGGCTCTGGCAGGTCAGTGGACTGGAGGGCACATCTTGGGACTGCAGCTCCTCTCCCTGGGCCAGGATATGGAGATTGCTGGAGCAGGAGGTAGTCAGTGGCAGGATTAATGGAATGCCTTTGAGAATGACCTCTGGGTGCACCCAGGCTGCTGGATGCAAATCAAAGGCTGCCACCCTAGCTGGACATGACTGTTGGCTGACAAAAGCAGCTTCTGCTCAACGGACCATCATCGAACAGGGCAGCCCATTGGAAAATACCATCCAAGAGTGGCCTTGCTCTGTGATAACCACGGGGACCTCCATGTATAGATGTCTAGGTTCCTAGGCTTGGCAAAGCTAATAAGGAAGCTAGTTTTTCTAAGACATAATGCAATATTGCTGACCAGATAGTATCAATCAATTAATGCAGTAGTTATCTGCATCTCCTTGTGCCCCCAAACTGTGATAAACTCTATGGTTACCCAGATGCTTAAGACACAGTGTGGCCTTGCCAGCTCATGGCTGACTTATACGTGAACAAGACAGAATCCTCCTGAAACTTTGGCTGTGAGCACCTTTGCTCAGTTTATTTCCCCCTTGTCTCATCACAGGGGCTCTGCTTTTCCTGCTTGTGTTTGAACGCAAGAGGCCTGGAGTCTCCATCCCTAGTGACAAAGGCCACCAGACACTGATCATGTACAATGATGAGAGCAAAGCCATGCCAGCTCAGGTAGTATAATGTGACACTTTGTGTCTTCTGGCAATGATGTCACCCACATGTGGACACACGGCAAAGATTTCTTCACCCTTTGTATTCCCTCTTATTTCTCTACTCTTACCCGTATTTGAGTAGCAAGAGAGAAAATATTTCTTGCAAAAATTGTGTAACTGAGCTAGGTGGATTTATTATTTTGATCAGTGGTTCTCAATCATTGGCAATTTTGCCCCCCGGGGGATATTTGGCAATACCCGGACACACTTTTGATGGTAACAATTATGGGTGCTTCAAGTGGGCTGAAACCAGAGATGCTGCTGAATACCTTACAACACACTAGATGACCTCTACCACAAAGAATGATCTGCCCAGTGTCTCAAGTGCTTAGTTTGATAAACCCTGCTTAGGGGAAAGATGATTTTTGGCTGGGTGAATATCCACTAAAAGGCTAAAAGGAATTGTGTTGTGCTCACCAGATCAGCATCTGAGCTGGTTTCTTGGCCATAGCTGGGTAGAATGAAATATAACCTACCCCTCCACCCTCATTTAGCAGAGGCCAAACAATGGTCTTTGAGTAAAAATGGAAAACATCTCCTTGTGCCTTCAAACTATGATAAACTATGGCTACCCTGATGCTTAAGACACAATGTGGCCTTGCTAGTTCATGACTGACTTACACGTGAACAGGACAGGATCCTCCTGAAACCTCAGCTTTGGGCAACTTTGATCAGTCCATTTCTGGCTCTGAGGCTCACCTAGGGAAGAAAACAGAAAGGGCTATCAGGGCCTAGGGGCTGTGCCTCTACCTTCTTCTTGGTGAGAGGGAGTGGAGGCTGCTGAGCTTGGATGAGACCAGCAGAAATGGAACACTTACCAAGCACTGGCTCAGGCTGCAGTTGAGGTGGATAGCAGAGAAGACGTCCAGAGTGCCTTCTTGTCAGGTATCTTCGTGGCTGTCTCTTGGGAAAGAGGAAGCAGCTACAGGAGTAGCAGGGGTGAAAATGGACGTTGGCCATCCTGGGGCTAAGACCAGGAAACTTGAAAGGGACTTGATGACAAGATGGCACAGGCCAAGGACCACCTGTGTCAGAGGGGCGAGAAAGCTTCATTCAGGGCAAGTGGCCTCTGTTCTCTTCTTGTACCAAAATATACTCCCCTTGTTTTCCCCTAATCCCCTGGGGCACATCTCCATCCCTGCCAAGGTATCTTTAGGGTCCTAAGAACTGGGGTCCCACAAACCTGGGTTTAGATTCCAAATCTGTGGTTGGTCAGTTACATAATCTAACTGATCCTTGGCCTTCACATGTAAAGTAAGATTGATAATGTTCTTGCTCTTTCTCTTAGGTTTATTGGTCTATTTAATCAAGGAACACACTTCAAGTCCTTAGGGCTAGGGCACTGAAAGGCACCCACTAAAAGGTGGCTGCCTGCCAGTATTAGCATTATTAGCAATAATTACTAATTAGGTCTTTGTAATCATTGATGACTAAGGCCATCTCAAGGTACACACACTTATCTGTCAACCCATTTTACATGTGTATACTATCCTAAATATCATAGCCCTCACCAGGGAGGATCTGTGCTCTTGGAAAGACTCCTCCCCCCAAGATGTCCTTGATGGCTCCACCCAGCTGCTGCTGAGGGGTAGGGACACCCCCTGATGGAGATGATCTTTTATTGCACAGATAAAAGATCCCCCATCCTGCACAGGGGAGGTTAGTGAGCCCTTTGCCAACAGAAATTCAGCACCCATCAGCACCTGAGTCCCTCAGGGAATACATTAGCTAAATGGGACAGCACACAGAGTACCGTGCAACAGCGGTGACCCCAGGAGCCATCAACACGAGCCTCAGATGAGGACAAGTCCTTAGATTCCAAATATCCTGAAACAAGAGTCTTCTACCATCACTTTTCTTGAAACATTTAACCATGAGACAACTCCCAACCAGTATTTACAAAAGACAGACAGAAATAAATCCCCTCCCCAAATAAATCATTCAGATTTCTAGGCTCGGTGTGTTTTTCACAGTCTGGATATTTTCTTTGGTGGCATAGATGCAATGTGTTTGGGGAGAAAGGTTCTGCCTTGCATTCTGATTTTATTTCTGCTGTCTGTAATTTCAGCCCCTGTCACATTTGTTCCCCTGTGCTCCACAGATGCAGTCAGATGTTGAGGGCCAGAGGCCAGCTCCACTGATCCACACAGTTGCAGCAGGGGCCATACTGGGTGCTAAGGTAATATGCCATTGATTTACTTCAGGATTTTAAGCAGAGAAATGACTTTGCTGATGGTTTCCATGACTGGGCACACCGTGCATGTACCTCCTACTGCCACATCCAGTGAGGCCTTCTGCAAGTTGGCCTTCACCCCAGCTCCCCATGCGGCAAAGTCCACGGTGCCCTCAGCTTTACACACCTGTGCCTCTCAACAGCGATTTGCTTTCCTCTTTGCTATAATGTCAGATGATCCAGAGTCTCCAAATTTCTGTCTGTCCAGTGTGAACTTAAGGACTTTTTTTTTTGCCACATTCATGTGCCACTTGTATGATTGTAGTTTTTATTTTTTGAGGCAGGTCTCACTCTGTCATTCAGGCTAGAGCACAGTGGCACAGTTAGGGCTCATCATAGCCTCGACCTGCAGGACTCTGGCAATTCTTCCACCTCAGTCTCCCAAGTAGCTGGGACTACAGGTATACACCACCACACCAGGCTAATTTTTTGATTTTTTTTTTGTAGAGATGAGGTCTCACTATGTTGCCCATGCTGGTCTCAAACTCCTGGTATCAAGCAATCCTCCAGTCTTGGCTTCCTAAAGTGCTGGGATTACAGACGAGCTACCATGCCCAACCCATACAAGTTTATTTTTTAAAACATTTTTTCTTTAAATGAAGTTGTGTTTAGATTAAGTACATTTATTTAAATAGGACATTTTACATTTCCACTGTAAGTAAATTTTTAAAAAAACAAGTTTTACTTATATAAAGAGCGGGTAAGCATGTAAATAGACACCAATGAAACAGAACACACTAAATCTGGGAAGATGATACCCCTGCCAAAGGTCTCCCTCTGAGAGAAAGGTTGAGGCATGAAAACCACCTGGCACCAGAGTGACACTTGCTCCTGGATGTTATTAGGGTATGGAACTGGGAATGGAAAGGGAATTATTTCCTCACCATGCAACTCAATGTTTTTTAAAGCCTTCTTTCCCAACTGGCTAAATATTCCCTTTTCTAAGTGGTAGGTGCCCCCCACTTTGGAACAAGGAGTTAAACCAGAGAAGTTGTGAATTACAGAGTATATGCCTGGCCAGGGCAGTGAGCAGGGCACAGCCCAATGCCCATTCTGCTCACTAATCCATGCTCCCGGTGGAAGGACTGCCCTTTCTTCACTCCTACAAAGATGCTTCCTGGCATGGTGGGAGCTGCCTCTTTCCCTCCTCTTAACCATCTGTAAGCTTCTAGAAAGAGAAAGAGTTGCCCCAGGGAGCACACTCTGCACTCTGCAAGCACAGTCCCATGGAATTGTCACCAGCACCCTAGGGGGAAGGAGTGGGGACAGTCTTGCTTCCCTACTTTACAGAAGAGGAACCAAAGCCTGTCGGTGTCTATTTCTTAGTGTGTCTCTAGGTTCCCTTCACAATGTCCTGCAAATGGTTTAGTACATCTGTGGTGACTGGTTAAATAAACCGCCATTCACATAGTTTCTCTACGTTTTCACTTGGGATTTATTGGATAAACTGATATTTTAAAATCTGCTGCAAAGCATGAAATATCTTCCATGAAACCATGGTCAAGGTCCATTGCCTGCTTTATTTGCTTTGAAATTTTGCTTCATTATTGAAGGGTCTCTATTAAAATAATAGAAACCCAAGGCAAAAATGGCCCACAATTGCATTCCTAAATCCAGGCAGTTTCCTTTGTGAGTGTCATCCTCCAGATCCTGCCTGTGCATCCGTTCAGCCTGCATGTGTCCTTGTCACAGATAGTATGTTAGTCTGCATGTTCAAGTCACATCTGGCCACATGGTTCCATTTTGCTCCTGCCTTTTTTCCATGCATTTCTCCACCTTTCTTTCCATGCCCACCTTCCCTCTTTCTCATCATGTTAATTTTTATTTGCTAATAAACACATGAGCAAGGGGAAGTTGTGGAGGGGCACACAGGACAACTTGGTTTTCAGCTGGAGAGAAAGACGTTCTCTTTTGAGTAAATCAGCGTCTTCCCAGTAGGATCTCAGCAAAGTGCTGCCCCCTACAGCGAGTATGTCAGACCAAGTACACTCTGCTCTGGGGACTCAGGTGAGTTACAGAAAGTCAGGACCTGCTGTGGTCATCTCACTAGTCACTGGCAGGTGGTTTCCTTGAGAGAGGGCACTTCTAGAAGATTCCATGATACTTAGAATGAACACGTAGTCAATGAAAATCTGAGAAATGTATTTTCTCCATTCAATCATCTTTGCATCTATTGAACTAGCTATTATTATTACTGCTACTGCTGGTGGTTGTTGTTTTAAGAATTGTTTAATAGTTCTGATCAAAGTTTTTAGAACACCCACAAATAGATACATGTTCTTGTATCCATCTACAGGCACCAGAGATGATCTATAAGGTTAAGAGCACATGACTTTGGCCTTGATTAAATTACAGCCCTGTGATTCTACACTTCTTGCCAAATGGAGGTCTGACTTTTCCTCAGTGTCGAGTCTTCATGTACTCTGCATACAAATTCTAGAACTACTGTTGGCTTTGTAAAATGATTTTTCTGAAATAATTTTAGACTCACTAGAAGTTGCAAAAATAGACTGGGGAGTTCCCATGGATCCTTCCTTAGTTTCTCCCAAGGATAACATTTTACATAACCCTGCTAACTTGATCAAAACCAGAAAATGGACTTTGGGACAACACTATTAATACAGGTCTCAAATACAGACCTTAATTGGTCTTCATCAGTTTAACCAGTTATTATTTTAACAAAAATTTACTCTTCTGACCTGGAACTAAAAGAAGTATTCAAGGTCCAAAGAGCCATGGTATCATATTCAATGTTTATGAGGGAAAGCTTCTAAAAATAAATTCAGATCTCTGTAATTTCATATCTTTGCTCCAGTTGCAACTGGGCAGAGATTAAATGTGCCATTCTTCTTGGCATAGTGACGATGCTACTGATCTACCACTGAAAGCCTCTGAGTTGGTGGGCATGTTCCCTGGTCCTGGTGGGGCCAGTCTCCTGAGCATGGGACCTCTGCAGTGGCACATGGCCCCATGCTCAGAAGAGTCCGTGCTTGGTCATTGGCAATGTTCTACTGTCATCATCTTGAAATTCTTGATTTTTGAACAAGGGTTCCACATTTTCTTTTTTCACCAGGACCTGCAAGTTATATAGTTGGACCTGGTCCCAGAGGGTTATGTGTGTCATTCTCATATATTTAAGGCAGGGCTATAGCACAGAGGAAGTCCTACTGAGCACTTGTGGACCTAAGAAGGAGCTTGTAAATCTAGTATTCTCAAGTTCCTTCTCCACAAAGGAACCATAAAATGTGTTCATGAATTTCTGGTATGAATGTCTACACTGCTCTCATAAGAATTGCTCTACGTTTAGTACAAAAATGAAGAGCAGTACGACTGCAAGAGTTTCTGCATCCCTTGCTCATTTATATGAAACCAATAAATGCTTTTCTCTTCTTAAATTTAAGGGTGGTGGCCTGCTTTTTGAATCAAGAAGTATGAAAAGCAGATACTCTACTCCTGTGAGTACAGATGTAGATGTTACCATGATAATTACCATATGGTTCCATCTAATTGCTATGGAAAGGCCTGAAAATTGTAAATTTAGAAAAAGAAGAGGTGATATAAATATGGCCAACTTCCAATTAATCTAAAGAAGAAGTAAGTGCAGAGCACTGATTAGAAGTGGTTAAGGTACATCTATCCAGGGACTCAAAAGTATAAGTTTTTCTGTCCCTGGCAAATTTCTTTTGCTGCTGAGTTGCGGAAAACGCAATCATTGACTGACTATTCTGTTGTGCTTCTCAGAGACTTATAAGTTTTGAGCTAAGAGGGTCTTAGAGATCATCTAGCTTGTTCTTTTTTCCTAGATATTTTTTAGCAGCAGAATTCTTCTTTTCAAATGAGATCCTACAAAGTTAACTCTATTATAAATAAAATGGATAGAGTGGATTTTTTATACCAATTTTGTGTGCATTGATATTTCTAACATATATCTATTGCCAAAATAACCAATAAAAATAGTGATTCTGATAAAAATGAAAAAGAAGGTTGAATGCTGTGAATAAAGTTTGCAAAATTATGTTATCTCAGCACCTAAATCATTGTCTCCTATTATTGGGAATTGGTTTGAAAGTATCAATAACAAAGAGAGCCATGCTGAGTGTGCCTCCATCTGAGCTGGGGCCACTGTCACAGGGGAGCCAGGACAAGGCTCTGCAGTGGTGTCAGGACTCTACTGTTTTGCTTTGCAGGCCTACCCAGATACTGTAGTGCCCAGAGGACTCCTGGCACCGATGGAAGGAAGGATGGTGGAGACACTGAGGCAGGTAAGGAGGCCTCCCTTATCCTGTGCATGAGCTGTTTGTTCTGCATTCCCACTGTGTTCCAGCCTTGGCCTGGAGACACTGACTCCTAAATTACTGTATTAGTCAGCTCAGGATGCCATAACAAATACCATAGACAGAGTGGCTTAAACCACAGAAATGTAATGTCCTATGGTTCTGGAGGCTAGAAGTCCCAGATCAGGAGTTCAGCATGGTCAGGTTCTGGTGAGGACTCTCTTCCTGGCTTGCAGATAGCAGCCTTCCTGTTGGGTCCTTACTAGGGGGAGGGGAGAGAGAGAGAGAGAGAGAGAGAGAGAGAGAGAGAGAGAGAGAAATCAAGCTTCCTGGTGTCTCTTCCTATGAGGAAATTTAATCCCATCATGAGGACCTCACCCTCATGACTTCATCTCAACCTAAATATCTCCCAAAGGCCCCATCTCCAAATATCATCACATTGTGGTGAGGGCTTCAGCATATGAATTAGGGGTGGGGACATGCAATGTAATCACTTTCATAAGAATCCTCCTCCCAGGACTGCTTTCGACCTAAGACAGAATGAAGGGAATTTTTTTGCACAGTTGTGAGAGATGTGGTCTGGCTGCATTGAAGAGGGTTATATAGGGAGAGACTCTGATATTAGATGTATGCTAGAAGGTTCCCCCAACACAACCACTAAGCATTCTCAGGAGGATTTGAAAGCAACTTGAGAGTTGGGTAAACATGAGGGTAGGTTTAAATGAATGGAAGGTGTCGAGCGAATCCACATGCTCCTGTCACCGAGGTTCTGCCTGCCCCCTGCTTGGAGAAGGATGCACAAAGCAGCTGCTGACTGACTCTAGGAAACTCCAGATGTTGTAGGAAACTTGAGACTCAGAACTGTGGGATGAGCAGAGAAGGAATATATACATGCAAACAGTCTCTCTTGGTCAAGAGTGATCTTCTTTGACAAACACGTGTGTTACTCATTTTCTTCCAGATTTTGTTCTGAGCACCTTGAAAGATAATAACTCTCCATCCTCATATCAATCCACTGTGGCAGGTGCTGTCATATTCCTTCTTATAAAATGAGGAAATCAGGAACAAAGAAATTGGGCAACATGTCCAAGGTTATAGCCATAGAAACTGGTAGATTCCAAGCTCAAATACAAGCAGTTGAGCTCCAGGGTCTGGGCCCATGGGGCCTCATTAAAAAGCAGCACTCCCAGGTCCACCTCTGTAGACCCTGCTTTAGTGGGTTTGGGGTGCTCATCAGAGCATCTGACTTGAGATCCTGGGTGCCTGTTGTGCGAAACCTGGTGATATGCCTGGTGTCCCCTCTTCTGACTGTAAGAAGGGACTGTGACAGGGCTACAGGCACTGTGGCCTGAGGAACAGGTGCAGAGTAGCTGTTTGGGGTCTTCCTAGTGTCAGCTCCCTCTGGTTCCTGTCATAGTCTCCAGGATGGGAGCTCAAGCTCTGTGCCTCGGTGACAGCCCCAAGACTGCTGGAACTTGGCCCCTCCTTGCTCCTGCCCCTGAGGCCTGCAGAATGGATGCTGCCTGGTGGCGGCGACCACAAAATAACACAAATATTTTCTCTTAGACTAGAAACTGCCCTGAAACCGGGCAAGTCAAGTTCCTGTGGGAGGAGCTGGGCACCTGGAGTTGGGGCTGCAGGATGCTTGTTGACTGTTGGTGAGGAAGATACAGAATAAGCCACAGAGAAGCTTCTGTGTGTCTCTCCCTGAGGCATGGCAACCTCCCAGAGGGCAGGACTGTGTCTACTGGTGTGTGACACATGGTCACTGGAGAATGAGTGAATGAAAGAACCCCATCTTCCCTACAGACTGATGAGGTAGGCAAATCTGAAAATAGAGACACAGAGAAGCTTCTCCAGTGGCAAAGCAATGAGGGGCAGAGCTAGAGCTGGGGCACAAGGGGCCGATTCCAGACAGGCCCACCTAGTCTCTGAGCAATATAGGGAGTCTCGTCCTTGTGAATCTTAACTTCCTGTCTGTGCAGTGGGGTTGGGGCGGCTCTGCTATATTCTTGGTGGATGATGGGCACAGACGAGATAATATTGCTGGGTAACCATAGAATGTGGTGGTCACGGCACAGCATCTGGTGGGCTCCTTCCCACATATGTGCACACATGCACATGTATACATGCAACTGCTGTCGTGGGCCACGTGGACGGGACCGCAGTCCCACGTGGCTGGGCAGGATATGGCTACTTTCCAGCTGAGATCTACCCTCCCTCTGCCAGGCAGGCAGGCAGTTTTGTCCAGGGAGAGTTCAGAGCTCTGTGCATGGTGGTGTGAGAGGAGGAAAAACCAGATTCGAAGGCCCAGTTCTTTTCCCTGTAAGTCCTTTAACTTAGTTGGTGGTTTGTGATGAATTATTGATCTTACAAGGCCTCCGAAATTGCTGAATCAGGGTGTAGAAACCTGCTGCTCTGCCGCCAGCTTGGAGGACTTGAAGTTGAGTCCACACAGCCCAGATACCCACTGCAGATGAGGGTTGGTTCTGCACATACCAGGCCTGTCGTTAATTATCTATTCAGCTTCACTGTGGGCACGTGAGCAGACTTCCAACACTTTGGCCATAACATGTGTATTCACTGCTAGCTGGCATTAGCTTCCTCTCTTCCCTCCAGCCCTGTACCCCTGTGCCATATGGTCATACAGTGACACAGTCCCTGAATAAGCAGACCCAGTCCATGGGCAGACACATGGGTGAGTGCTCCATTCCCACACCTATCTGTGTCACTGAGCCTGATGTGTCAGTGGACACAGCTGGGAGATAGTATTTCCTACTAAACAAAGGCCCAGGAAGGTTCCTGTGAACCAGAGGAGACTGGAGACAGCTTGCAGCCAGTACATGGGGAGGGCAGGGCCAAGAGCTTAGACTGAGGGGTCTCATTGGAATAGAGACCTGCATGGGGTCTCCTATCAGCTGCCCTTTCCTGACCTTCCCCCACCTCCCACCTTAGGCTCTGGGCCTTGGGATTCCAACTGTCTTCATGCTGTAGACAAGCTCACACTCTCAGAATCACTGTCAGCTGGTGATGGGTTAGAAAGATGCCCACTAAACCCACTCCTGCCAAGATTGGTGGGAACTGGCCCAGGATTCAGACAGCGTTAGACATTCCTAGAGGCATTAGGAAGTAAACAGACTAAAGCTCTTCTCCATCCTCCCTCCCTCCCATTCTTTCCTCCCACTGCTTTTCTTCCCTCCCTCCCCTTTTTCTCCCTTCCTCCCTCTCTTTCTCCCTCCTTCCTTTCTTTCTTTCCTTTCTACAACCATTTGTTTAGTCACTCAGGCCAGAAAAAGCCAGAAAAGTCTTCACAGAGAGATGATTTGGACCCTGAATGAGACTGGCAGGTGGGAATAGTCCATCTTAGAGAAGGGAACAGCAGTTACAGAGGCTAAGAGGACAGCCCGGAGGACCCTGGCAGGTACAGCAGTTGGTGGGGATCAGTAGGGATGACGGTGGAAAGAGCAACCCAAGTCTGTGAGAGGGGCTTGACTGTCTTTGGGGTTTTGGTGGCCAAGAGTCACTACTGAGGGTTTTAGGCAGAGAGATGAGGCCTAGAAAATGTTGCTGGTGCATATGCACAGAGTGGACCAGAGGCAGGAGAGGTTGAAGAGAGGCTGGAAGATCATGAGAAGGGAGTTATCAGGAAGGAGGCAGTCATAACAACTCCAGGGCAGAGTGGCTTAACACAAAGACCATGTGCTTCTGGCTCAGGTCACAGGACAGGGTGGGTATTGAGCAGAAGCAGAACGCAGGCCTAGGCTCCTCCCAACACTAGAAACCTGGAGATGGGACTGGAGGATGGCAGAGGCTTTTGGGGAGGCCATAGAGGTGGAGGAAATGTCCCTGCCATCCATTATTTCATCAGCTATGCTCAGTTCTATGGCCACATCCAATTGAGAGGCAGGAAATATGATCTTGCACGTGCCCAGGAAGAACAAGAAATGAGCCAGGTGAGCTCCTCACCACTCTCGGCCCTGATGACTTGACCTAAGGACATGTCTAAGGTGCTGACCAGGGGACTGGAAGAGAGGACAAGACCAGGAACTTGGCTGAAGATATGAGGGGGTAGGGTGCAGGTGGGGATCACTCAAGGTTTCACGTATGAAGAGCTGGGCTGCTGGTGTCATGACTTAAGCCAGGCTAGAGTTTTAAACCTTAGTCATTCCCTTACTACCATTAGCCGGTTGTCTTACCCGTTCGCTGCTATTTACTTGATGCATTTCTGTAGTTCTGCTCACATGTTAGTGAACTTTTTGCTTTACTGTCATCTCAGCAACGGTATTTGTGACATCAGGTAACCAGATGTGCTGGTTATTATGTTTTGAAATAAATGTTAAAAGGTGGCCTCAAAGATGGAAATAATAGACATGGAGGACACCAACTGGGGGCAGGGAGAGGGGTTAGGGTTCAGAAATTACCTATAGGATGTAATGTTCACTATATGGGGAATGGGCCATCTGTGACCCCATCCCCACTGCTACAAAATGGGTTCACATAACAAGCATGCACTGGACCCACTGATTCTAAAGTACAGTTTTTCTTAAAAAAAAAGAAAAGAAATATACATTAAAATGACTGTCTGTTCAAAGACATGTGTCCTGATACCGTCTAAAGCCTTCTAATGCTCTAGGGTCAGCAACCTTCCTATAAAGAGCGAGATGGTAAACACTGTAGGCCAGTTCCCATGACTCAGTTCTGCCATTGTAGCAAGAACACAGCCACAGGCTACACACAAATAAATAGTCTTGGTTGTGTTACAGGAGAGCTTAATTGACAGCAACAAGTGGTGGACTGAGTTATCTCCTGGGCCATATTGTGCCGACTTCTGTGACAGGTTGTGTGCACTACATTTGGGGAGTGTCAAGGGAGGGGATAGGAGAGGAGGAAATGAAGGTTGGGGGGAAAATGAGGAGATTTCAAGGTTATTGTGTCTGGGGTCTCTGGGGATGTCCTTGTAGAGACTTCCAGTGGTCAACTGGAATCCTGGCTATGAATGTGACTGTCGGGAACACTCCAGACAAAGATGACTGGGAAATCACCACTGGTTAGGGGGTAGATGAAGCTATGGTTTGAGCATTGAAATGGGAAAGCAGTGGTTGAGGAGCGATGGCGGTGAGAGAGGGGCAGCAGTGGGTGGGGACCCCCTTTTTTGGAAGGAGGCAGTGAAGTATGGGCAGAGGTAAAGGGTAGCCCCAAGCATCTTTGTGGGTTGGGAGGAAAAAGCCCAAGGCAAGAGACAGTGAAAAATGCAGAAAGAGAGGACAGTTGTCCAAATGAGAACCTAGGGAGTCACAGAAAGGGAAGTACCCAGGGCACAGGACAGGGAGGGATGCATGAATCACAGGAGGGTGGGAGGAGCGTGGGGGACTCACCAGGGGCTTCTGTCATACTGCCTTGGGCAGTCTCCCGCATAAGTATCACAAGTCCCCCTGGAAATCAACTGGAGACACGGAGGTGGCAACTTGCCCTCAGCCTGACTACCTGTCCCAAGTTTGTAGACCACTGTGTGAGTCGAGGACGTGGGGCCAGCCTGCGCTGCCAGGGCTCTGAAGCATCGTTCCTCAAACCCAGAGAAAACCAACTGTGTCCAGAAGCGTGTGGCACTCACTTCTCTTTCCCTGGCTTTTCCCTAGAAGCTTTGTGGCATGGACCTGCTAGACGAGGACCCCAGCTACCCACTTCACATCTACAGCGAGGAGGGGGAATGTGAAGGTGCCTGGTCCCTCAGTTCTCTCGCCTTCTCCGAGCATGAACTGCCACCTGACTTGCTGGACTGTTTGTGTTCAAAAGTGATTCCGCTTGAAGAAGTATATTTAGAGTGAGGTGTTTCTCCTTCAAAAGTGCATATTTTGGAGAACTGGAAAGATTCATAGAGGGGAGTCACAATTCAGGGATTTCCCCCCCCCCTGTTGTTGTTCTCTTTCTCCTCCTCTTCCTCCTCCTCCCCCTCCTCCCCCTCCTCCCCATCCTCCTCTTTCTTTGTTTTCTTCCTTCTTCTTCTTCTTGTATTACCTCCTAGATCTAGGATGAGGACAAACTATTAGTCTGTATTAAATGTTTTGAAATCCTCAGAGCAGCCATCTCTGAGCAAAACGGCAAAGGTTGTACTTTTTAAAAAATTTGATCTGTCAGATTTTCTAGAGAAACTTGCATTTATTCGTGTTATTCTTTGCTTCCATTAGCAGTTCAGCTCTGAGAGTAAATGAAAATGTAATCCACAGGTTACCAGCTGTTTGGCAACAGTAGGTGATACTGGAGAAGGAGGAAAACACGTTTTTAAAAGGTTATTTTAATATCTTTAATTCTCATTCTGCTTGAGTTTAAAGGAAACATAGGTGAATAGGTAATAGGGTAAATAGGGAAATGTTTTCTAGAACACTCGTAATCTGTATTTTTAGTGATCAAAAATAAATAAATAATTAGTCCCTTTTCCCCTTTTGGTTAGATAGATATGTTATCTTGAGTGAAATGATTATGCTTAATGCTTTATAAGCAGTATATGCACATGCTTTAAAAATGAAGAACTGACATAATTTAACTTGTATGTATTATGTAAGTAAGATAATTTAGGAGTTGTTGAATGAATATGTTCTGATTAGATTTTATCTTTAAACAAAACCACAAAATTTAACTGGTTTTACTTGTCCACTAACTGCTAGTATAAATTGCAGGGGAGGAAATGGTTTCTTTTAAAAATCTTAAGAAAAAGTTTGCATAGTAGGATCAGTACTGTATGATAGTTTTCTTGTGTGAGTAATAGCTAAGAGACTGACTAAGCAAAGTGTAAAATGTATATACTTTAATGCATAATTGACTATCTAAAAGTCTGCAGCTAAATCCAAAAAAATTCATGAAATTAGTGAGCATAATCTTTTGTAAATGCCCTCTCTCCAGCTCTCACATAAATCAGGAGGAAACACGTTTGCTGTTGAAACAGTGAAGCATCATATCCAACAGCGAATTTTAGCTCAGAGTGAAAACTTTCCCTTCTTTCTGAAGAAGCTGTGCAAATACTTACTTTAAGGAGACTGCGACTGTTCATACTCAGGCACTTCACTCATTCTCTAGTGTTTTTGGCAACAGGAAAGGAAGAAAGCCATATCCAAAGTATTGGGATGTCTGAATCGGACATATGAAGGTAGAACAGCTATGCTAATGCTGGGACGATCAGAGGAGACATATGGTTGAGACATTTTCTGGGTAATATAGGATACAAGTAAATTTTTTTTTTTAGTTGGACTTTCACTCTGTCACTGAGGCTGGAGTACAGTGGCACATTCATGGCCACTGCTACCTTGGCCTGCTGAGCTCAGGTGATCCTTCCACTCCAGTCTTCCAAGTAGCTGGAACTACCGGCGCACACCACCACGACCAACTAATTTTTAAATTTATTTTAGAGATGAGGTCTCACCAAGTTGCCCATGCTGTTCTTGAACCCCTGGGCTCAGGCAATTTTCTTGCCTCTGCCTCTGAAAGTGCTGGGATTACAAGGCCGCTGTGCCTGGCAACGAGTAATTTTTTAGAAAACTGTACTTTTTTTTGGAAAACAAAATAAATGCTTTGGTTTTATGGTATTGACTATTTGTCTCTTTCATTCTATTCTCTGCAAATTTATAAAAATATTCCTACAATTTAGACATTTGTACAAAATTTGTGTATACAAAATGTACACATTTATGGGATACATAGTGATGTTCTGATACATATGTATAATGATCGGATTGGGGTAATTCACATCCCCATCATCTCAAACAATTCTCATTTTTTTCATGTTGGAAATATCTAATACCCTACTTCTAGCTATTTAAAACTATGTAACATATTATTGTTAACTGTAGTCATCCCACAGTAGCATAGAACACAAGACCTTATTCCTCCTCTCTAGCTGTCATTTTTTTTATCCTTCAGCAAATGTCTTCCATCCCTCACTTCCTTCAACCCCTCCAAACCTCTAGTGTCCTCTGTTCTACTTTTTACTTCTATGAGGTCAACATTTTTAAGCTTCCACATATAAGAGAGACCGTGGAGTGTTTAGCTTTCCGTTCCCATCTATTCTACTTAACATAATGTCTTCCAGTTCTATTTATGCTGCCATGAATGACAGGATTTCATTCTTTTTTATGGCCATCATGGATATATACAACATTTTATTTATCCATTCATCTGTTGTTGGACACCTGGGTGGATTCCATATCTTGGCGGTTGTGAATAGTGCTGCAATAAACATGGATGTGCAGATGTCTCTTCAATATACTGATTTCCCCTGCTTAGGAAAAATGCCCAGTTGTGGGGTTGCTGGATCACAGGGTAGTTCTATTTGTAGTTTTTTGGGGGAGCCTCCATACTGTTCTCTATCATGGCTATATTAGTGTATATTCCCACTAGCAGTGCATCACATCCTCACCAGCATTTGTTATTTTTTGCCTTTTGGATAACAGCCACTCTAATTGGCAGCTATATGTTGCCTACACACCTTTTCCCCACAGCAGGAAGTCCCTCCAGTCTCCAGGCTGATCTGATCCAGGCAGGGGTGATGGGGCTGCAGAGGCAGGGTGCCTCCATGATGCCCTCCTGGGCTTCTGATTGTCACAGGTGCCTTTCTACTCCCCAGCTGTATGACAGCACTCTTCCTTTAGCCCTCCAGTTCAATCTTGGTTTTTTTATTTGTTGCTTTGGTCTTTTCTTGTGGGGGTTAGGGGCATGAGCTCCAAGTGTCTTGAGTCAGTCATCTTGCTGATGTCACTACCAGAAAAATATACCTTTGAGTACGAATTGTTGTCAGGGGTCAGTAGGTAGTTATTAGACCTTACTGATTTGCCTTACTGCCATGGGACTTGCTGTCTGTTCTTGTAAATAAAGTTTTATTGGCACACAGCCATGCTCATTCATTTAAGTATTGGATATGGCCTTTTGGGTCCCAACAACAGAGCTAAATAGTTGCAACAGAGACCCCATGGCCCACAAAGCCTAACATGGTTACTTTTTGGCCCTTTCCAGAAAAAAAATGTGCTTGACCCCTTATCTGAGGCATTCTATCTGGAAAACCCACGTCACATCAAACATATTCAGAAGTAGCCACACCCTGCATTAAAAACAAACACATTGCCATACAAACTGTGAAAATTTTTGAATAAGTTTACTTTTGAACATGGGCAACTCATTTGACTCACCACTGGTTATAAAATCCTGGCAATTGTTGTGCTTATTTGTGAATTCCTTCATTATGAGCTGCTCTCTAACAGATTGTTTTCAAAAGTAATGAAACACTCATGCAGTATTTATGAACCAAATTTAATAATTAATGAGGATCACAAAATGTCATATTTTATAGATATTTAATTAGATATTTATTAATTTGGATTTTACTGTTTTCTTTTTATGTTTTGAAGCCAATTTTTTTCATATCTTGACCATTTTCACAAGACTTGGGTCTCAGGGTTAGAGCATCCAGTGGAGAAAATGGCCCTGTTGGTGTCTTTATGAGACAGTGCTGACTGTTTTCTCTTTACATGCGAGTCTCTATTGTGTATTATTACCTTCCCCAACTGCTGTCTGCAGGACATATTCCTAGATATCTGTTGGTTTTCCCCACAAGTTAATTATCAAGTCTATCTATGAGGGGGATCAAAAGAAAAAAAACCCATCATTTATTTCTTAAAAAATTGTGTATTTACTCTTACATGTTTACACTTCATTCATCTTCAAAGGACTCTCCATTTGATGCAATACACCTATCGAGACGACGCTTTTTCCACTGCTCAAAACAGCATTTGAACTTGTCAATTTTGATGCCCTTTAGTGCTTCTGCCATTTTTTGTTTCACCTCTTCCACACCCTCCAAAAAATAATTCTGGGTTTCTTGGGTCCCCCTTGTACATACTTAAAAGAACATATCCATTAGAAACATAAGCTGCATAATATTTTCGTGAAAATTTTTAGCTTCCAATGGAATTCACATATACTCATGAATTAAACCAATTCTTGCTAATGGCAATAACACAGAAAAGGCAATAAAACAGAAATAGTAAATATTTTCAGGGAAAATGTGTTTTCAGGGAAAATGTGATTTTATTAAGAACATCAGCCTCCCAATTACTTAGCAATCCAAGAATAGCTGCAGTTTATCTTAGCAATCCAAAGATAGCTGCAGAAGTTAAATATTTATTTTGCGTTTCATCAACTTTGGTTTCCATGCGCAATAACATCTCACTGGTTTAATGGAACTTTCCATTCAAGATGTTTGTTTTGCTTACTTTTATGATTTACTAAACACAGATTTACTAAACTCAGTTGGTAAAGCTTTCCTTTTTACAAGTAAAACACCCACCAGGGAGACCTCAGTCGATGTCCGGGTGAAGTTGGCGGAGCAACAGTCCTCTCAAAGATGAACTGTGGCCACTGTAAAAACAATCAACACAGTGTTGGGTAGAGGATGTTTCTCAGATGGTTTCCCCTCATTGGAGAGTTTTTCTGCACGGCATAGCCTGTAAACATTGTCCAGTCATTGTCTCCTCTGAGATGTGTATATCAAAGCCCCAACTAATCTGCCACGGAAGAGGTGAGGAGGATAAAGAATTTTGGAGCCATAAAAATATAGTCCTTTAACTTTTCCCAACACAAGCATGCTAGTAATGAAATTTGATGCAGGTATGAGGCTGCAGAAAGTGGCCCTAATATGTGTCACTTCTTCTTCTTCCATAAAACAACCCTGAGCTTCTGCTGTGCAAGTGCCATCCAGATGGTAGCAACACTTCCCATTCTGCATTGCAGCTGGGCATGGCCGTGTGACTCAATGCTGGCCAATGGGAGGCAACTTCCAGGAAGTGTCCCTGAAGTGTGGGGATATGTCTATCTCTTCCTTCTTCTCCTTCTA